CGGCACTCTTGCTGATGTGATATTCTAATATAAGAACATAATATGATATAAATATAAGACAAAAACTAATTTGGGGACATAGCCTACCTATGAACTGCACACAGCAGTGAAAGGACGATAGACAAATGCTATGTCAGCTCACAGTGCCTCGTACATACCGTGAAACTTCAAATAATAGCCGAGTCCCGAATAGACGCCTGTCTCTTTTACACGCCTGGTGTGGCGACAGGTTTGGGTACATAAAGGCCGGTCTCAAATAGAAGCCGGGTCTGTTTTTAGTTTCGGGTTGTATTTTATCTTCTAAAACCCGTCAGAGCGTCCGCTTGCTGCGCTTGACAGTGCATAACGAGCAGAGAGAGAGAGAGAGCGCCCCGGCCGCGCGCGCGCACTCACCTCTTCAAACATTCTGCCGCGATTCCCGCGAATGTGATGCGAATTGTCACGTGAAAATGCAAATCCACAAAGATAGAAAAATAAAAAAATAATACACATACAACGATAGCAAAAAACAGTTTTGTAAAAATTATTTCAAACTCCACATTTAGGGGGGCCACAAGGGGGGCCAAGCTTTTTGTCACAGGGGCACTGGCCCCCCTGGCCCCCCCTCTAGAACCGCCACTGGTTGCTGATGGCCACATTGTATTATTGGATCCTCCTGCAACACCACACTCTGTCACAGTTGTAAGTGATTATTGTCTTTAGGTTTCTGTTTGCTAGACCAAGCATCCTTCCTTATTTTCACTGTAGGATGATGATGAAGAGACCACTTCTGCTGTGACAGAAACAGAAAATGTGGGGAGGCCCATAGAGGTATGATGCATATTCCCCCTTTTTTACACAAGAGAATAAATAAATTGTCATTGTCATTTTACAGAATATGGCAGGAGATTTTAATACAGATGAGGGTCCATCTACCTCCACACAGAATCTTAGCAGTGTAAGAAATGTTCTGCAGTTCTCCTTCCTCATTTAAATATTTGGTCTGTGTTTGTATTACAGACTTTTTCAGTCTTTCTAGTTGCCTGCCAAAAAGCTGTATAAGGTCCACCTTTAAAAGCAAATCAGAAAAAGTGACATGGAGATGGACCTTATACAGCTTCAAATGGAGGAGAAAAGGCTTAACCTAAAAAAGGCCAGACTTGAAATTGAATTGCTGGAGCACTAGCTTAAGGTGGGAAACAGTATGTAAACATTAATCTGTCATTTGTTGTTGAATGAAATCTAAAGTAATAAATACAAATGTCTTTTGTTACAGGAAATAAAGAAACAATGAACAACACTTGACTGTTAACTGGTTTTAATTAAAGTGATTTTGGCAAATCATGTCTTGTACCACCCTGCCATCTCTTTGGTCTACTGGGTTCACTGGGGGTTCCTCTTGGCTACATATTACCTAGTTAGTGGGGACCAGTGATGAGGGTGATTTAATGGTTTAAACACCCAAACATTTAGCATCCAAAAAATCTATTGTCACCTGCACATTGATGCTATGCATTGACTTCCTATTTACATAGTCTCCTTCATTGATGGAAGGAGCTTTAATGTGAATGTGGGTTCCATCAATCCAACCAATCACATTTGGGAACCCTGAAATTGAAAGTTATATAATTAGAAACATTTAAAATTATTGTGACTGTATAAAGTAGGGTTAGATTAAGTAGTGCTATATGTAACTAAAATGGTCAGGGGACGCCATGCTCTGTCACCTCTCTGAAAGAAACTAACCCTGGAACATAACCTGCTCCGGAGCAGGTTAAGTTCAGAGAGTGAGTTGCTATGACTACTAACATACCCTGAAAGTTACCTCCGTTTTTGGAACCGAAAGTTGAGGTTATCCGCTTACTTACTCTTAAACATACCCGGGTATGTCACATAACCTGCTTTCTGGAATACACCCCCGGTAATGGCCATTTTGTTTATTAGTTTTGAAAATACAGACAGGGGGGTACATTGCATGGGTTATAACAGAAAATATCAATTAAAACAAAAAGATAGAAGTAAACATAAAAAGTAAAATAAACATTAAAATGTTTAGAAATATTAACAACAACGAAATCGCTCATTTTTCTGTTTTAATATTTTTTTATCCAAATTATAGCTAATAGAAATAGCCCTACGGTGGCCGAGAGAGCTCAACGCGCTGCAACTGAAGAAAACACATACAAATAGAAAAACGCCCGCAAATTAAGAAAACATCTTCATCAGTTTTACAACGCATGTGTACTCCAAATACTCACAACAACCAAATAGAGAAACGCGGCGCAAAAGTTCACAACACAACCAAATACAGAAACACGCTGCAAATAGAACAGAGCAGAATCTAAATGTTTCCGGGGGGGACCCCAATAAGTGACGAACCCGGCTGGGACGTGCTTACTGCTCATGAGCATCCCTATGCCCTACTCCCAAGGGCAGCGACTCGAGCCCTTGAAGTGAGTGAGCACGGCACATGTGTGCCACTTATGTAGCAGTTTGGAACGCCCTTGATGAAGGGAACAACGAAAGAGCGTAATTTTCTCATTATTTTCACCTGGGATGTTTCCATGACAACACAGCACGGTCTCCATCAGCTGAATAGCTGTTTTTACGACAGACATTTCTGATTATTGATGTTAACTGTTGCAAATAAATATACATTTACAAAAAAGTTTTTAAAATATGCGTTATATGCGTGTGTGAGTGTCTCGACTTTAAAACTTGCCGCCTCATCTTTGGACCCTGCATTACCTAACATTTCTTATGAAACTTAAAACATAACATGACAAAATTTTTGTAACTGATGTAGGCTATAGATTAAAATCTTATTCTCCCATGTGAAAAATAATATGCTATGTATACTTGCAGCCAGACTAATTATCTGTATAGCCTACTTCAAGTGTGTTAATGATTATTAACTTGAAGTGTGCTATTTTGAAACAACTAATTGTGTGTTACTTTAGTGTACTAAATTGGACCAACTTCAAGTATATATATACTTTAAGTATGCCTGTGTAGGGACTAATTACAGGTACTGTAGGCTACATGCTTGATTAGTGATATTAAAGTCAAAGTGTACTTTATTTGTGTTGCAAGTAGCCTACATTACAAATCCATTACAAGTGTCTTCGAAACAAGCAATATACCATAAGTGTATTGATATATATTTGTATTTTTTATTTTAAATATATATATATTTGTGCATTTTCGCCTTTTAGGACAGTAGAGAGAGAGAGAGAGAGAGAGAGAGAGAGAGATCTGGAAAGGTCCTCTAGCCGGGACTCGAACTTGGGTCTCCCGACACACTTGCCCACGAGGCTATCGTGGTGGTGTGATATATTTAAGTAAAAAGTTTAGGCACAAAAGTTTATTTTTAGAAAATATACTAAAGTACAATTATTTTAAAGTGTGTTAAAACTTGTATTATGAAAATAGGTAAAAGCATGATGCTAAAATAAGTTTAATATATTTAAAGATAGTAAAATTTGTGTTAGTATATTTGCAATGTAATATTGAAAAATGGAATATATTTCAAATACAATAAAGTATACTTTTTTTTTACACTAGGGCTCATGTTCTTTTTCTCTTTTTTTTTTTTTTTTTTTTAGTTTTCAGCTCATTGTTAACTGTTCTTTTCTCATTTGTATTCTGATGCCATTTAACATATTGTAGGCTATACGAATTTGTCATTATAAAAAAAAAAAGTCAGAAAAAAAGAGTAAAAAAGGTAGACTTTGGCCCTGTCCCAAATGGCACACTCCGGACTTGTGAACTTCCTCAGAGTCCACACTTCGGTGACGTCATGTAGTGCAGACCTATAGGGCCCTTAGCGCGAGTCCACGAGGGCGCATTGAGAGGTATTTTTGGGACAGACTCGATCGTCACGCCGGAAACAGGAAGACGGTCTGATTGTTGTTATGGACAGGAGCTACAGGTTCGGGGAAATATGCTGCCTATTGTTGTTGTGTTTACATATGACTCAGTAAACCCCTGACATTCTGTTCTATTTATTTAATGAATCATAATGCGATCGTATTATTCAGCTCGCTATTATTAGCCTATGTTTGAGACATCAACCACTGGTCGATGATCATAATATTTGTATAAACTTGTCATAAAAACCGTAATCATAATTACACTTAAATATTTTCTTCTCAGCCATGTTAAAAATTGTCCGTGAGCGAAATCTCCTCCCATCCGTTGTCTGATTGGCCTTTCGCAAGGATTCCTGGGTAGTTAAAGTGTGTGGACCCTGCATCTATGCGGGCTTCGCGGAAGACCGCTTCAAGGGTACAAAGGGGGCGCTGCTGAGCACACTTCAGAGCGTTAAAATGCTAAATGGGACGGCCTACGGACTCGTAGACTCGGCGAGCACGCGCAATTTAAGTCCACGAGACCGAAAGTCCTCATGAAGTGCGCCATTTGGGACAGTCACAGGGCCATAGAGCTATAAGCACGTCCCAGCCGGGTTCGTCACTTATTGGGGTCCCCTGGAAACATTTCCATTGTGTTCTGTTCTATTTGCAGTGCGTTTCTGTATTTGATTGTGTTGTGAACTTTTGCAGCGCAGTATTTGTGTTGTGAGTATTTGGAGCACCCATGTGTTGTAAAACTGATGAAAATGTTTTCTTAATTTGCGGGTGTTTTCTTCAGTTGAGCTCCCTCGCCCACCGTAAATAGCAGTAAAAAACAATCCAACCGTCTCCATTGACTTTGCATTGCGATAAGCTGCCTCCTTGTCATTACTGACTTATAACAAAAAACAAAACAATGTTTAAAAGCTGCTATGTGACAAGGTGTAGTGATGGCCAAATGAAGCGTTTCGAAGCATTATTGCTTTCTGATACAATTGTGTCGAAAATGGTTCATTACTCGAAGCTTCATTCAGATAGAAATTGCAGCACCATCTCCAGCACACAAAGCTGACAACCATAAAATGCAAGTAGGCGTATATGTTAACGCCCCGTTTATTACGTGTTTACCGGAGTAGCATCTGCCTGCAGTCCCGGAGGCTGCATTTTCAGGACCCCACTTCTAGGACCGCATTTCTAGGACCCTAGTTTTTTAGTGACAGCGCCACCTACCGAATTAGAGGACCAGCGAAGATGGATGACATTCAGAGTGTGAGTATCAAATGCGAATCAATTTTTATTTGTTTAACTTTAAAAACAATTGTGATGCATTTCATTGGAAAGTTAACGTTGCCAACGTGCTGGTGATTTGCTAAACAGTCTTGAATGCATAGCCATCATATATTAGCCTCTAATGCTGGAAAATGAATTGTTGAACTGTTGCATGATAAGCATGTGTTGACTTATTTACAGCACAATAAACTGTAGCATGTTCGTTCTGAAAGCTTGTTAATTACTCATTGTTTTTCCATTTTAATTCAGTTAAAATAATCTTAATGTTTTCACTGTCACGTGCTCACAGTCAGCCTGTTTAACGTTACCCACAATACATGTTATGTGTCTCTTCATTTTGACATGGTTTTATAAAGTTGGTAGTGCTGCTGCATACATCACAATGTGTGCTTTAAATATTATATATGGTCAGGAAAAGTCGTGTCAATAATGTTATTTCTATTCAGATTTCTTGCATCTCTCTCTATTACTTTTTTCTCAGTTCAGATGGGCTTTATTGACATGAGTGTTTCTAGAACCTTTGTTCCCACAACATCAAAATATTGTTTTTTTCCCCAAATCTTTGAACAGTATGCAATAATTGTATTATGAACATTAATTGGTATGAAGATTGATATAATTATTTTTATCATTACTCTGTGGTAACTAAGATCTTTTAAATATGAAATTTAAAATTAGAGAGTAGAACATGTTCAACTAAATGTTCCTTATTTAATTCACTTCTCTTTCTCTCTCTTAGGAGTCAGTGATGATGTTGTCCATGTGTTTGTCCATCCATTGAAGTTCTGTCTATGTGGTTCACGTCATGATCAATTTTGTTTTTGTGTGTTCAAGTTCAGTTGTTATATATTATTTTGTAAAATATTTAGTGTGTTCAAGTTCAGGTGTTATATATTATTTTGTAAAATACACAATCTTAAATCTACCCCCAGAGTCATCCTTGTCTTCCCTCTGTACTTGAAAATGTGGTCCATCTAGTGACTGAAAAGGCTATAACATGATTCCTTGTTTATTTTACTTGAGTTATTATAGTATGCTACTTAGACCCAATCATTCATTTCTCAACATTCCTAGGAACCTGGTTTAATTGCAATAAAGAAAGTAGTATGTGGGTGTAATACAACTTTAAAAAAAACTCAAATACTGCCTTGGTGGCACTTTTTTCGGTCCTCCAAAACTAGGATCCTGGAAATGCGTTCCTGGGACTGCGGTTCTCCGACTCGGTAGGTGGCGCTGTCACAAAAAACTAGGGTCCTAGAAATGCGGTCCTAGAAGTGGGGTCCTGAAAATGCAGCCTCCGGGACTGCAGACAGATAATATTGGTTTACCGAGGCGATCAAAGCTGAAACAGTGTTAGTGCTGTGAAACTCATTTATGTAGGTGAATTTTACAGATACTGATGAATTTCATGTGTTCACCTTGATAATAAAACATTAAGCATGATGTGTGTGTGTGTAATTATTTCTTTAGACAAGGACAGAAGATCAGACCAGCTTAAAAAAAGTTGGAAACTATCACATAAATTCTAATGGTTTCTATTAAAATACCAATAGGAACCATTGGCTTTTACCATTTAAACCACTACAGAATTCATTTTTGTAGTGTGTTTGGGTATATTCCATTAGGATTTAATGCCCCCACCAATAGAACCCAACACATATAAGTAGAGACCCACAGAGACCACTATAATTCCCATTACAACCAATAAAATTCCCATGAAAACCATTAAATCCAATAGAATTTCTGTAATGGTTTCTAGGCTATAGTTTTTTTTTTTTAGCAGGGCAGTATCATCTGTGAAAGCTTTATCTTGTTTAGCCGTGGGAAGCAGAACTCTATAACTTGTTAACTGGTGGCAATGATATTTTTGTATGTTGAAAAGGATGTGCTTGTGTAACTGTTTGTAGCCTACTTGTATAATGTAGCAGAGGGTTTTTTAAGTTTCTGTCTTTCTCCATATCATTCACTACATAGGCCTATGTAAAAATATTTGTATGCAGAAATGTCAAAGAACTAACCTTATTCGGGGAAATAAGTTTAAAGTGTTCCCAAACTTGGGAACGACTTCTCTTTCTCACTGGCTCCATCACAACACCGAAATAAACTCAATCCACTCTTAGGGCCCTTACATAGTCAACGCATCGGTACGCATACGCGTGCGCAAGGCTACACATCGCTACGCTTCGGCCGCCATTATGCGTCGATGCGTAGCCAAATGTGTCATCCTAGTTTTTGATACGCGACGCGCCGATGCACGCAATACTAAGCGTTGTCGGTGGGGGCGACTTTGCAAGTAATGTACATAAAAAGGTATATTATTATGTTTACAGAAGAAGAAGATTTGAATACAATGGCGGGCGAAGAGGAAAAGTTATGTGAGCTTGTTTTATTGCCGCCGATGTAAAATCAGCAATATCCACTCCTCTTCAGTTGCCATTTTGATCTGAATATCACGTGACCCGACTCTAGACTCTACTACCCCCTGTTGCGCGATCGGTGTATTGCATTTCACGCATCGCCGGTGACGCTTGCGTCTGCTTGTGTACTTTGAAAAGGAGCGTGTAGGTCGTGTCGCTCGCGTTGACTATGTAACGGCCCTTAACAATAACGCCAATTCAAACACCGACTACTACAACCCACGGTGTTACCATGGTTTGGCTTCACTTTTATAAGAAATACAACCGCCAGGTTTCAAACCTGTCAACACTGGATTGGGCTGTCAAAGCAGTCAGGTGGTTCACTACAGGTGTGAACCAGTAGGCTTGTTTGAGATGAGCAAAATCTGCGCAGAACCGATCACCGGTGATCAGCGCGAGATGCATGCCGGTTAGAAATGTGTCCGAGTGCGGTGGTGATGTCATGCCGTCGTATGTCAAAAAACTCTCGCGACCGCAAGGCGCACGTGTCGGATTCTGCGCGCAGTTGCTCTCCACCGACTGCTGATCAGAAGCACGCATGGGAAACGACTTGCTGACGACACAGCTTAATGCTCATTGGTTTAAACAACCTGATGTATTGTTCTCTTTTAAAATGTTTGATTTTAAAACTCTGATATCATGTTATATGTGTATAAATTATGTGTGGATATTCCCAAACTCTCTGACAGTGTGCTGTGATGTAATTTTTATTTTTATAAAAACACATGTCTGTAAAAATGATTGATATAATTTAAAATGGAATTAAATAAGTAGGCCTACTTTGGGTGTTTTGTTCATTATATTTATTTTCATAAAAGCAACAAAACTTAAATTACATCCAGTTTATTAGCAACACCGTGCACGGGCGTGAATCCCGCAATATCCGCCTTTGATCTCACAGGTGTCTGATCCACTGCGAGAAGAGAGATCTGTCTGGCTTGCCTGCGCTTTTTTCACTCCTCTCACTGCAGCCGCCTACTCTCGACTACATTTCAGGCGAGGCAAGGCGCATCTCAAACAAGCCTAGTGTGTTTGCTTCAGACGTCATTTTCACGTGACTGATGATACAAGCTCCGAAGCAGTCGTTGCAAGAACCGTTCGAGTTTCAAGCAAGCGAGAGTCGGTGTCAGACGTAACATCACTAACAAGGTGTACAGCAAACAAGGTGTTTTTATTAGCTGTCGACCCCAAAAAAACGAGCGTTTGGACAACAGTGGCTGGAACGAAAGGGTAAATTTTGGGATCCTCACACTCATTATGCACTAAAAATACACTATGTGTGCGGTAAACATTTTGTCACTGGTAAGTCAAATATTCAAATGTTAGGTTGTTGTAAGCTAAGCTAAGCTATCCTGTCGCCGATTACGATCGCGATCCCCTCCAGTGGGCGTATTCACGGGTTTCACGTGACGTCACACAGCTGTGTGGCCGCCATTTGTAGGACCGAATCCAAACATGCCGTCTATCTGCTGTGCTGTAAGCTGCGATAACAGCAAATCTCAAAGAAATGAGAAATTAACGTTTTACAATATCCCCAAAAACCCTGAGCGTCGTCAGAGATGGATTGCTGTTATAAAGAGGGATCACTGGACACCTACAGAACACTCCAGACTCTGCAGTGAGCACTTTATTTCAGGTAAATAATGGCTAGGTTAGCGTTAGCTGATCTAACATTAGCACTAGTTCCTTACCAATCAGCCTTTGCAGACAAATTGCATATAGTTAATGTGTAGCTAGCTAACATTTCCATACAAAATAGGTCATCTGTGTCTCTGCTAATGTTAAGTTAACTATATCCACTGTTAGACAGTAACTAATTCTGAGTAGGTAACGTTAATTGGTGTCTCATCTTCTACCACTGCAGGCAAAAAAAGTGAAAATCCTCTAAACCCCGATTGTGTGCCAAGTATTTTTGGCTACCTGTCACCTGAGCAACGACAAAGAAGCTTGCTATAAAAAAATATGAGCAGACACAGGCTGTTAAAAGAAAGAGATGTACCAGTGATGTGTCAGCGTCACCCCATGATAACCTTACTGACATTGAAATTGACAACACTGACAGCGGGCAGAGTGGGGAACACAGCTACTCTAAAGAACCTATCCATACTGAGTGAGAGCCGTGTAGCATGCACTGATGAAGCCTGTCGAGAAACTGTGAAGAAACTGACGGAAGAGTGTACCAGACTGAGGGCTGAGGTTCATCAGCTTAGGGACAGGGCAAGCAAGTTATCTTTCCAGCAGGAGGTGTTCAAAGAAAATGATGAGATGGTCCAGGACTTAACTGGACTTCCATCCTATTCCAAGATGATGGTCGTCTTCACCTTCTTGTCAGGATTTCTAAAGGCGGGACCTGGGCTGACTCCTTTTCACTGCTTTTTAATGACTCTAATGAGAATGAGATTGAATCTACCTCTCCACTTTTTTACATATATATTTCACGTGTCAAAGCCTACTGTAAGCCGAATTTTTAACAGTACATTAAATGTCATGAACAGTAGGTTGTCTTCATTCATAGTGTGGCCCAGCAAGGAGCAGATTCAAATCAGTTTACCTATGTGTTTAAAAAACAGCAGTTACAGAAATTGTACTTCCATATTAGATTGTTTTGAAATTTTCATTGAGAAGCCTAAGAACATGAGAGCGCAAGCACAAACATATTCACAGTACAAACATCATAATACTGTTAAGTATTTGATCTCAATAACACCACAGGGAGTCATACCATTTGTTTCTACTGGTTGGGGGGGGGGGTTCTTTCTGTCAGTAAGCATCTGACAGAAAACTGCGGCTACCTGGAAAACCTGTCACCTGGTGATGTCGTCTTGGGAGATCGAGGGTTTACCATAGGAGATGCTTTGGGCTTGTACAGTGCTCATCTCAAATTACCTGCCTTCACAAGGGAAACAGCAACTGCACCCAAGTGAACTTGAAACTACAAGGGGACTGCTGTTCGGATCCATGTGGAACGCGTCATTGGTCTTGTAAGAAACAAGTACACAATTTTGCAAAGCACAATACCCATCTCTCTTTGCCAGACTACAATTCCAGGAGAACTTACATCTCTGGACAAGATGGTCAAAGTCTGCTGTGCTTTGTGTAATATTTGCCCATCTGTTGTGCCCTCAGAATAGAGAGTAACATTGTGCTCCAAGTGTAACACAATGATATGAATTGTTGTTTGTTTTTATACAATTCTGTTTTATATTTGCAATAAAAAAACAGGTTTCAGTAAACTACATTGCTTGTATTCTATTCATTGTTAATTATTCATAATAATCAAATAATTCATAAAATAAGGTATATTACAACTTCATTAAGTCATGGTAAAAAAAATGGGTAACACTTTACAATAATGTTAATTTATTAAACATTAGTTAATGTATTAACTAACATGAACTGACAATAAGCAATGCATGTGTTACATTATTTATTAAACTTTGTTAATGTTAGTTAATATAAATAAAGCTGTTCATTGTTTGTTCACAGTGCATTAACTAATGTTAACAAG